AATAGTATTGTTATTCTTCACATGAACATCAACTTGTACTCTGACTTTTCTGAGTCAGACTGATGTCATCAATTCACAGACATATCTTGAGTACACATACATTTGAAACACATCTGATTTTTCGTGGACAACAGACTTGTACATTTTACTAAAAGCTTGTCACTGTTCATGTAGATACATTTAGTAAACTTGGAATTATTTTGTATCTAAATATAAAGTATCAAGTTTATTATGAAATGATTTGATATCCCATAACATTATTTCTGATTTAAATACCAGTCTGCCATTACATCACAACAGGTGTTGCTGTAATTAAAAAATAAATTGTATAATTTACTTGAGCTGTTTCATTCTTTACAACTGTTACTTGATATTAAATTAATTGTAATATTTTTTTTTTTACATAGATGAACATGTATTAAATGAATTAACTATAACATACAGAATTTTAAATTACTGTTATTTTTTGCTAAATTCATGTAGAGAATAAAGTGAAATGTATAAATATGAACTTTTCCTTTAATTAGAAAATATGTATAAAAACAGATTAATTTAGATGTGGCTTTTTTTGTTCAGTTTTTTTAAGTAAAATAAAATTATAACTGCTATTTTTAATAATATCATTATCTTGAAATTAATTTTCAGTTCTAGAATTTTATTTATATAAAATGTTTAGAGTTTTTTTTGTCACTTTGATTCTGTGTTTTGGAATCCATTTCTTTCGTGTTTGTGTAGAAGAAAAACTTTCTCTTTGTGTATTGCTTTCTCTTGATTTTATGTTCTAACCATTCGTACCTTCATTATCTTAACCAATCACTATTGTTATTGTAGTGTCTAAAGCAGGAAAAAAACCTTTGATATAGATATTACTAATACTACATAGCATTCTTTGATAAAAAGAATTAAAAATAGTGATATTAATACTGATCTGTTCCTCAACATGTATTTCTAAATTCATCAGTGTGTGTGCTTTTTGTACATTATGTAGAAAGTTTTAAAAACTTTGACTTTTGGGCTATTTGTAGTAGTTTAATATACAATTAATTAAGAAAAAAAAAAGGTTTTATCTGATTGGCTATATCTTAGGAAAATTAATCGGTGTCTGGGTATTATTAGGGCCAGCTAGATGATTTCTATATGTGTCATCTTTTAAGATTTTCAGTTAAATTTAGTATCAAGGCAGATTCTTTCAAAATCTTTACAGGTTTTATTCATATTAAATTTTTCATTCTAAAAAATATCTAATATAGAATTAAAGGACTTTGATTATTGTATTTTATTAATTTAAATCACGAAATAACATATTAGGTTTTAATTCTGCCACATAGACATTTCATGTGATAAACGGTGAAATGTTTTCTGTAATAGTCTTCATTACATTTGTGAGTATGTAGTTTTTAAAACTTAATTTTCAGTGTTTTCATGAAGTTTGTTTGTGTCAGATATTGATTTTAATGTTGTCAATACACTCTGACAAAATAATCAGATTGAAAAGAAGAACCAAAAATATTTGTTTAATTTTTTTTTGTTTTCAGGTGGCTAGCTACCACACATTAATATGACACTAGCCAAATTAGGTACTTTGGCATGTAGCATTAAAAAAAACACTTCATTTATCATTTAAGTGAGCAAAGTAATATTAAAAAAAAAGAATCTTCTGTTCTACGTAGAAAGACAAAAAAGGTTGAATTGTAACAGAAAAAGCATGTTTATCATCCTGTTAAATATAATCATAGTTTTTTTTTTGCTCAGTTGACTAAAGCTTCTTGGCAGCATATTTCGTCACTAAACTGGTGCGTCATTTGGCACCACGTTAGGTAGTACTACAAGTAGTCAAGGGCCAAACCATTGTCTACCACAATCGAGTCACTTAGACACCGTCAGTTACCAATAAATCACTTTCTCTTTCGTACGTGACGTACATTTTCCTGAGGGTGTCGAAGATAGTTGAATACAGAGGGTAGTAATAAATGAATATTACTTAGATAAATCTTGTTTAAAGTAGGAACGATTTGTGAAATTGGTCCAAGGAATTCTGATGATTATATAGTAGTAGAAGTTACAACAAACATTGCTAACTCTACCATCTTAAGAAAGAGTTCATGTATAAGACCCGAAAAATAGTTTTTGAAAGTTAAATATTAATTACCATTGTTTATAAAATTTTCAGTTATTATAATACTTTAAGCCTCTTTTAATGTCAGCTTACTTAAAGCATGTATAAAACAGCATTATCATGTAGGAAGTATTTCTAATGTCAGCTTACTTAAAGCATATATAAAACAGCTTTATCATGTAGGAAGTATTTCTAATGTCAGCTTACTTAAAGCATGTGTAAAACAGCTTTATCATGTAGGAAGTATTTCTAATGTCACTTTGTACCTGGAGTTAAAATACATCTATAGGTTTGTCAGTATAACAAAAGAAAGTATTTCTAATGTCACTTTATACCTGGAGTTAAAACACATCTACAGGTTTGTCAGTATAACAAAAGAAAGTATTTCTAATGTCACTTTGTACCTGGAGTTAAAACACATCTATAGGTTTGTCAGTATAACAAAAGAAAGTATTTCTAATGTCACTTTGTACCTGAAGTTAAAACACATCTATAGGTTTGTTAGTATAACAAATGAAAGTATTTCTAATGTCACTTTGTACCTGGAGTTAAAACACATCTATAGGTTTGTCAGTATAACAAAAGAAAGTATTTCTAATGTCACTTTGTATTTGGAGTTAAAACACATCTAGAGATACTTGAGTATAACAAGAATATATAATTTTTAAGAAACTTAAAATCGACCCTAAAATATGTACAGTAAACAAGCACAACTAATGGTAAACTGTGTCCCTGATAAAGATAGTTTTTACCTTTCAAAAGTACTTGGGTTATAGGGTTTAATATTTTTATCGTTATTACCAAGCATAAGTGGCAAATTTTAAATCCATTTTTTATTTTCTAATTTCTCATGTTTCAAATGGTCCTCGTTTTGTAAATTTCATATTTTTGTTTTATTAATCCTGTATTTACTTAAGATCAAAGTGCATGTGTCGTGACCTTTTACAAAGCTACATTCAAAATTTAAGTGAACAACTTTAATGTAAGCTTGGCATCAAAACATAGTTTCTAATTCAAGTTTTTGTATTATCTAAGTTTCAATTTCCTAATTTCAAAAGGAAATAAATAAATTGTCAATCTTTACTTGTCTGGGTTGTGATGCCCTCATTTTCTGAATAACCCTTTTTTTGATTTTCTTTCTATAACCTATTTGAGTGTCAGAAAGTTCAATTAATTACAAACACATACTACTGGTATTTACAAACTAGAATATAAAGTAAGATCATCCAATTTTTGTCTTTGACTGAGATTTAAATCAAATTCAAAACCACATGACCTCCCCCCCCCCCCTCTGTATCATTATGTCTTTTAAAAAAATTGTCAGTAATTGTCACTAAAATTGCTGTTGGATTATTTCTTACCACAAGAATGAGCAATTATTTCTGTACAAGATTATTTATACAGTTTATGTTACGCTGCACTTCCTAAATAGATATTTGGCCCCAGTTTCATTGTTTACAATCATGGTGCTCAGTCTCAAGCAGCTAACTAAAATGTTTTTAACCTGTTTATGGATTAGGTAGAAAACTAGTTAAATTATATTAGTTTTGAAATAGTCCGTTCTAGGACCTCATATAATTTTTTCTGTTCTAAAATACATGTTTGGAATAAACATTAATTATTTTGTGGACAATGAACATCATCACAAAAATGTAGTTTCATAGTGCCTTGTCATCAATGGCAAAAGTCCCGAGTCCAGTGATAAGTACTAAATTTCATGCTTTTTATGTATATATTTTAATTATTGTTGTAAAAGTAACTAAAATGTAAAAGTTAGAAGCTTATTAGTTAGATAAGAAAAGTTAAATAATAAATTTCTTTCAATACTCAATATCCTACATCAAAATAACCATGTGCACATAACTGGTGTAATCGTAACTCATTCATTTGTTTATAATGATGTCATGAATGTTTTTAGCATACTCCAAGATAGTCTAAGTTCAGTTGTAAAGCAATAAAACTAAATGAAACCAGATGTGAATGATGTTTTACTGAAAAACATGATTTTCATTTAGGGGGGTCTATAAGATGAAAATTAAATATGAAAACTGTAAGAAGAAACGAATCGTCTTTTGTTCAGAATGATTCAGTAACGGCTTCAGAAATTCACAAACAAATCTTTAACAGAAATTCTGATGTTTTTTGTGTACAACAGACTTGTAATGTTAACTAGAAGCTTGCCAAATTTCATAAAAATACACTTAGTAAACTCAGAATTTCATTAGATATTATTTCTCCAATATGGCTATAAACATAGCCTCCTCTGAGGTATATTTTTATCTCCATAATGTTAAGTCAGTCACTATGATACTAAGATCTAGAACCACAGTTATAGAGATACCTTTTACATTTAGTTGTTGACAAGAGTTAAGGATGGGGAAGGTGATTTTTCACTTGCTGATAGTAAAAAAGTAAAATGAGTGCAGATGATAATATTTAACTAGCATCTAATAGAATAATTGTATTGTTCACTGTTAACAAATACAGTTAAATCAAAAGTTCATAAAAGTTACCATTCAGTAAAAAAGAAATCCTTGACTGAGATTCTCGTTTATAATAATACCGCAAGGGAACATTATAAAATATTATTAACTTTTATGACAGTTTAAATAAATGATCAACTTCATCCTATTGTTATACCGACTACAGTTTGTGTTCTACGTGTAACTTGTTAAAGACATTCGTAAGAGTTTTGTTTATAGTGGCTAAGTAGAACTTTCCTTTGATTTTATGAATGAAGGTAACATCTGTATTTCAGTTTTGAGAACTTTGTATAAAGTTTATTTGTTTAGTAGTAAAGTGTTGTTATGATAAACATGAAAGTTAAGGAATGATCAAACCTGTGATCAAAGTACAATTTTTTTTTGTGTGTGTGTATACGTGTTTTGTGATTGTGAAAGTTTGATAACACTGAAATATTTCTGTACACGTGACATGAAAATAAGGATTGTATTAGTTAGGGTAAATATAATTGTTAATTACTGAAAGTGGCATGTAATAAATATCTTTGGTAATTGGATATTTCCTCCCTCATATATCTGTCCAGCCAAAGGAGCATCACGATTGGTTGATGATGAAGGTATGATCTCTTCATTTTTAGTATTTATTTTCCTCTGATAATTTCTGCTTTCCCTTTCTTATATTTATATATATATATATATGTTTGTGTGTGTAAGTGTCTGTGATATAAAGTCAATGTCTGACTTAATTTGTGGGTTCAATAACGACATAAGAAAATTAGGTTTTTGTATGAAATACCTAAGCTAAATCTTAACTGCTTAAGTATAACTAGTGTTATAAAGTGCTTGATATTAACATAACTTAAAATTTGATATGAACATAATGTAGTATAACATGTTTGATATGGACATAAAATGTAGTATAACATGTTTAATATGAACATAAAATGTAGTGTAACATGTTTAATATGAACATAAAATGTAGTGTAACATGTTTAATATGAACATAAAATGTAGTGTAACATGTTTGATATGAACATGAAATGTAGTGTAACATGTTTGATATGAACATAAAATGTAGTGTAACATGTTTGATATAAACATAAAATGTAGTATAACGTGTTTGATATGAACATAAAATGTAGTATAACGTGTTTGATATTAACATAAAATGTAGTATAACGTGTTTGATATCAACTTATAATGTAGTATATCGTGTTTGATATCAACATAAAATGTAGTATAACGTGTTTGATATCAACATAAAATGTATAACGTGTTTGATATCAACATATAATGTAGTATATCGTGTTTGATATCAACATAAAATGTAGTATAACGTGTTTGATATCAACATAAAATGTAGTATAACGTGTTTGATATCAACATAAAATGTAGTATAATGTGTTTGATATCAACATAAAGTGTAATTTAACGTGTTTGATATCAACGTAAAGTGTAATATAATGTGTTTGATTTCAACGTAAAGTGTAGTATAACGTGTTTGATTTCAACGTAAAGTGTAGTATAATGTGTTTGATATGAACATAAAATGTAGTATAACGTGTTTGATATGAACATAAAATGTAGTATAACGTGTTTGATATGAACATAAAATGTAGTATAACGTGTTTGACATCAACATAAAGTGTAATATAACGTGTTTGATTTCAACGTAAAGTGTAGTATAACGTGTTTGATTTCAACGTAAAGTGTAGTATAACGTGTTTGATTTCAACGTAAAGTGTAGTATAACGTGTTTGATATGAACATAAAATGTAGTATAACGTGTTTGATATCAACGTAAAGTGTAGTATAACGTGTTTGATTTCAACGTAAAGTGTAGTATAACGTGTTTGATATGAACATGAAATGTAGTATAACGTGTTTGATATTAACATAACTTAAATCTTTTTTTTCAATGAATATAAATCCATTGAGATTAGTGATTTAAAGAAGAAATGATGAAACTATATATTGTTTTCTGTTGCAGTGGCTTTAGAGTTTAACACTTCAATCTGTAAATATGCTTTTTGTTCTAAACTTTTGGACTTTACCAGCACTTTACATAATTCTAAACAAGTAAATACAAGTACATGATAGTTCAGAAAACTTTGGCACAATTATTTCTAACTCAGAAGTTAGCCAAAAATTGAAACTTTTGGCTCTTGTAGTTGAGTCGAAAGACACTAAAAGCCAAATAAAATAGTGACTATGCCCTCCATATATGTTCAATTCAAAATATTTTTATATGTTTCAGGTATAAAAACAGTGTAAAGAATCAAATGTAAACTTATTTCTCACTGAGCTATAACTTAACATGTTCTAGTAGTAGTATGTTTTTATTGTATGCTTTCTTATATAATGTTTTTACTCTGAAATATTATGTTTTTAACTTTGTCTTATCAAAACTTATTGACCTTGAGGCAGGGGACAAAATATCTAGGTTCACATTGCAAGTTGTGAATCGAAATAACCATGCTGCGAATTACTTTCCTCTTTGCTTATAGGTTCACATTGCAATTTGTGAATTAAAACAACCCTGTTGGGAATCACTTTCCTCTTTGCTTATAGGTTCACATTGCAATTTGTGAATCAAAACAACCCTGTTGGGAATCACTTTCCTCTTTGCTTTGCGTAACGTGCAAATAATTCCTTTCTATTATATGTTGTCCTACAACAACACAGTACAAGTGCAAACATTTCAGTTTGATATACCAAAGCTGCATGTTCATTTCTCGGAAATTCCTGCCAAGTGGCACGTATAGTATTTTCACACTTTGTTATGCACATATTGCATACACTTTGTAGTAGTCTGTTAATGACATTTGGAATGTGCCCAGTCAGTGCCTGCAACCTAGCCAACAAGACTAGAGTATGTGTCTACAGTACATGCACTGCACATTTAGCATTGAGCCAGTTATGAACTCTCTCAATATGGACATACTCCCAAGGACCGACCACGTGATCATTTTTACTTCTGTATAGTTTTAATACTATAACTTTCAATACAGTATGTGTATCTTCACAAAATTTGGCAGACTTTTAATAAACATTACAAGTCACTTGTACACAAAATAGTTTTTTTAATGAAATATTTTTACTAAAGATCTGTCTGTGAATATATCAAGTCTTTTTGACCAGTCTGAGTGCAAAATGATTTTCACGTTAAGATAAAAAAATACTTTTCTTCTAGTAGTAGTACTATTCATGACATTATAATATAAGTTGTAAATCACTTGGGCAACGCGCGGCTTACATTTCGCTATTGAATTACATTATCCATGAGCTACTATATTTTTATTATTTATTTATCTAATCTAACTTTAACTAACCTTAAGAGTTTCCTATTTTTACATTTTAGTTACTTTTATAATAATAAATAAAGAATACAGATGAAAAACAAGAAATAAAGTTCTTACTTGGGCCTTTTTATATGCTGTCGATGACACTTAACCCTACTTTTTTTATAGTAATGGTAGTAATGCACTAAATAATTTTTATTTAATTAAATAATGCACTAAAGAACATAGAATAATAAAAGACAGAAAGCAGCAATGTCCCATAACTATCACAATTTTTCTGGCTTTCTAACTATGTGACAAGAGCTGTTACAAATTCATCCAAGCTAGTCGATGCATTTCCCATAAGAACGAAGTTTGTACTGAAAGAGAAGTTAACATTTTTCTGTACAGAAAACAACGTAATATAATACGTCATTTGATAGATGAAAATCTCCTATTGGTTAAAAATAATAGTATTAAAAATAAGAGAGAACTATTGACAAATCCTGAAAGAGAGGATGTGACAGGTGGGTGTGGCAAAAGGGGTCTGATTTTCTATTTTATGACTCTGTAGTCAAACAAAATTGAAGGCTATGAAAAGTATGCTTTATCTTAGAGATAACAATATTATGATAAGTAATTTATGTTAAATTTCGTACTTCTTGGAGGGGTGATAAAAGACTAGAGAAGAGGGGATGCTTAGAGAAAAAATGTCATTTCTCACACTAGGGAAAATTCAGAGTCTTTTTTTGATATTGTCTTATAAAATTAAGAACTTAAAGCTTAAACCAAGGTGACCACATTGTGAAGAAAGTGATGAGGCCTTGCCAAAAAGTAAATAAATAAACTAGATTACAGTATTTTTCGTAATATAAGACGCACCCTTATTTTGTAGACAAAGTTTTGGGGAAAAAAAGCTATAGTTGCATTTGAAAGATTTTTATTGAACAAAAATTCATTTTGATACTTTAAAAATTAGTATATATTGTTCTAA